AATATTTGAGCAAAACAAATGGCTCCCACTCCAATTTTAAGTAATGTCCCACAGCAAAAACAAGCCTTGCTCATATTGAGGCCTTTTGGAAGATAATCAGAAGGAATCTTGTTGTGAGGTTGCACTTAAAACCTGAGCTATTTTAAGTCACAATGAATCTATTTTCTCACCGTGGTTTCCAAAAAAGGCTGAAGAGACTGGGTGAGGACCAGAAGGACCAAATCTCATACTTTATCTCCCAAGAAATGATCCCCCTAAGGCCCCAGCATGTGTAGGTACTGCTGAGTTTAATCCAGAAAATATTTATATGAGGCAAATGACAGTTCATAAGACCTCTTCAGAATAAGCAGCTCCCAGTTGCATCCTAAGATAAAACAACAGAAGACAGAAAGGGAACTGGAAGAGAAGAATTCAAGATTTGAACAATTCTATACTTGATACCTGCCTTCACTAAAATCCCAACCACACACAAATCCTGAATGTCTTGAACTCAACACACACCCCCCCCAAATTCAAACAAACTAAAGAATCCAATCACCAAATTAAAAATCCAAATAATAATTTCAAGAGAGCAAATAATAATTATTATTAATGTTCTTCAAAGGAAACTTTTTGCACAGACCAGCAAGCAGAGTAGTAAATTTTCAAAAAAGAAAAAAAACAAGTGGAGAAATTTAAGATTGCATTCACTTCCTGAAGTTGTGGTGCTTTTAAATGTACACAAAGCAATAGAATCCTCTTCAGCACAACTCCCCTAAAACCTAGGTAAATATTTTATATCTTAGCAGAAAATTCTCTCAGAAAATAAGCAAGGCCACACGGATCCAAGGTATATTTCTGCCTTGCGAGGTGTTGTTCTGATGTAGCAATTAAAGAGGAATCAGCACAGCCCTACCTAAGACATGGACTAGTAAAAAACGTTGGCATAAACATAAATTACTCTGCTGCTCATTAGGATTTAAATTATAAACCACTAAGATACATTTAAATTTGAGGGATTTTTTATGAGCTCTGGAATAGGGCCTGGTACAAATGAATACACGGCACAGACAATTAACGATTTGCATTACCAACTTTGCTGAAATAACTGAACTCTGCAATTGAAAGCAACACAATTCTTTTTAATACAGCCATCTCAATTCATTTGGGGAGTTTAAAAAGTCCATCCTTTTTAAATACCAGTATTACTGATTACTAACACACAATGTCAAAAATTCCACTAAGAGCAGAGATTTCACCCAACTCCTCTCGACACCCCAGACTAGTTTTCATTTTCAAACTATTTGAGTTCCTTTGATAAATAAGGAACTTTTCTAATTTGACCTTGTAATACTGCACACTGACAGTGTTCTTTGATTCTTTATCATGCCCAAAACTAACAACAAGGCAACTGGACTTTAAATCTATCCCTAAGCCAAGGTAATAAAAAATAGAGGAAACAAACTAGAAGCAGAGTAGGCATGCTACAAATATTTTTAACTGAAAAATTATATAAAGGCAATTTCAAAAGTGATTCCTATAGGACTCTGCTCAGTCAAAAAGTAACCATCAGCAATCACTGTAACAAACCAAGTACATGGACAGTGTATCGTTACGTTTACAAATTCATTAATTTATTGTGACATAATAGGAAAAGACAATAAAAATATAAGTATCATGAAACAAGATAAATAGTATTTTCGCTCAGCCATCACAGCCCAAAATATCATGCATCAAAATGGCATTAATCACCCTCTGAAAATATTTCTGGTCTTTAAAATTTTAATTATAATGGCTCTGAGCCCACACTAGCATTTTGTTACAGATTTGGTATTGGTTCAGCCTTGTTTTTTTGCCTCAATAAACACCACAATACATGTTCATATACCAAACCTTAAACTAATAATGGAACATTTTCACAGAGAATTCCAGTTTTCTTTAAAAAAAAAAAAAAAAAAAGCTCTCTTCAGCAGGAATCTCCCCGGCGACATTAGCAAGCTTTGCATTAGACCTCACAAATGCTCCTCACAACTAAAATGCCAATCTTTAATCTCAAGATGCACCAGAAAAGTCCCAAATGCATCTTCCACCTCTTCTGCCTCTATTTGACAAATCTGTTTTGTTCCAATTCAGATACAGTCGATCACAGCCAAAAGAAAAACTCTTTTCTATTGAGTTAGCAAAGTTTTCCGATCGCTCTTCACTTAACCAGGGATATTGCTGCGTGTGCTACGTACACTGCACACGTACAACATCTTATGTCCTTCAGCTCCAAATAAATTATAAAGACATATCGGCCTTCTCTGACTTCACCCATGATGAAAGAAATATTAACTCTTTAGCGCATGAAAATGCCTACAAACCCTGACTCCTGCCTTGAGAAAAAGCCACTGAGGAGACGTTCAGCTGGAGTAACTCGTTACTCATCACTGTTACAAATGCTCCCAAGTCCCAAGTGTATGATGGTACAGTAACAAATCTCTGTGGTTTAAGACTAATTTTCTTAGATCGTGAGATCATGCTCACTCCCTTCCTGATTAACTCTGGAGGCAAAGGAAACTCAGGCAGTAAGTTAAATGCCATATAGTTTTAGTATATAAATATATAGCACATATATAATGCTATATTTCTACAGGGTTTAGCCCCCAGGTAGTTTGGGAGGGTTTTTTTAGTTTATTTTCACTCTGTGCATGTGTCTTTGTGGGTTTGTTTTTTTATTTTATTTTATTTACAGATTTATATTGCATATTTTTCAAATTCTTTCACATTTAGGTATCTTTTGTGGTATTGTACATTTCTTAGCCAATAGTTTCCTTTTATAAAAAATAAAATTCCAATTTCCTAATACACGTAAGACTTGAATTGCACCTGTACACCTTAGAATCTAGCAGTCTGGAAGTGTGGACTTTGGTAGCAGTTTCCCCTATGATTTTAATTCCACAAGCAAATCTCTCTCTGTACTTCACAAGTGCTTCAATTTCATACAGCTTAGTCCATTAGAAGCAGATATTCACAACATGGCCTGACATAGGGACAAGCCAGGGCTTGGGCTAGAAACACAACCTTGAGGGCAAATTCACTAAACATCCTGGGCACAAAGAGAAATAAGGCTTTAATTGAAGAGTGACCACAAGAGACTCACTAGCATCACTCTCAATCCACTGCTGAATCATATGAGGATTATTAATGATTATTTACTGAATATATGTCACTCTTGCAATGACACTGCTAGCTATACTTGACCCAGAACTATGTATTTTAAAAATCTTTCTCTTTTTTCCAGAGTCAAACCAGCTGATAGGAAGCACCTCACCCATCCAAAATCCCAAGGATCTATTAAGTGACATTCAGACATATTTTTTTATGCTGAGGTAGTTGTACATGCTTCTGAGCACTGATAATATCCATGTTACTACTCCTTTTGGGTGCTTTTCTAATTCTTCCTCTTTCTGTACAGTAAGAGAGAAAAGCCTCTTTCCTTGTCCTGGTGGACTGAGGTCTGCAGGCAGAATCGGGTGCTCCATGCGTCACTGTCACACACCAAACCCCTTCAGGATGTTTTGGCCAAGCACTGAATTTCACTACACAGTAGCGAGGGATCAGCTCTCAAAAATTCCCTTGTCAGCAATATCTTGATTAACAACTAGTTCTTATATAAAATATGTCAGCAATTAGTTAGGGAAGGCAAGGGACGTCAAGCACAAATTGGCTGGAAGAAATAAATGTTGACGGAAGATCACATTGTTCATGCAACTTCTTCCCAAAAGCTGGTCATCACGGGTCTTAATTCTGATCCAGCCTCCTAATCCCTCCTGGATCTTTAATAACTAGTATTTACAAAATAAATAGTGAGGTTGAAGGAAGATTTATGCTTGGAGCAAGGATTTACTCTACTTGTCAAACTCTTAGAGTACCCTAGCAGCAACTTTTCTATCAGCACAGGTCTGCTAAGAGCTGAAAAGATCCTTCTTATGTATATTCAGCAATAAAAACCCACAAACGAAACCAGCAAACCTAAGCCAAACTAGGCCTTGAGGTTTTAAACACAACCTAATACAAGGGCAAAATGAACTTTTTCCAGCAAAGAGAAGGAGGAAAAATAGAATTCTATGACCTTGAAATAGGTATTATTTTTATTGGTAATTACTCCTTTACAAATATTTTTCAATAGCTAAGAGTTTTTGAAGAATGTATTTTTAAGTTGCAGTTTCATAATCTAATTTCTCTTGATACAATATGTATCACCATTGGAAGTACACGGCAGAAATCTGGAAAACTGCCTGCTTCACCAGAAAAGGGGAGTTTTAAAAATATTTTTAAAAATCTGGAATGTATTCTAAGAATACTATTTTTACTTTTAATGTGGATTTTTAAACGCCCACATTAGACCAGTCTGCTTGTGAAATTTTATAATGCCCATGGTCAAGCCCTGATTGCTCACCGTGTTGCCTGTGCAGGGCAGAGCCGCTTGTGTGTATTTATTTGTGGTGTCTGCAAAATCTTCACAAGTATTTTCCCATCTTTGCTGTTAGAAATAACCTACGTTCTTTCAAAAAAAAAGAGAATTTAAGGTAGAAAAAAGTGCCTCTATAGATTTTTTTCTCCTTTTCACAATATTTCTAGTAATTTCTTTGTACTCACACAGACATAATGGAAAAAACACTGAAGGTTTCAATGAGCGTAAGATGAAGGACGATTTCTACAGGAGCTGGACTCCGTAGAGCTCCTTAACTCGTTATCATTAGCACTGGTTATAGACGGGCTCCATGTACACCGCGACGACGACTCGGCTGAACCCCACCACTACTCACTGCCAGTAACTAAGGACTGATAGTAACAGACAGCTGCTAGTTACTGATCGCAGCTAACAGCAATCGCAGGGAGTGGGGATGGAGTGTGAAAGCCGGGCTTCGCTCAGGCAGGGCGTGGGGGGGATGAAACAGCGAGAAACGCAGCGGCCGCTCGGCCCAGACCCCGGCCCCGGGGATCCTCGCTGCGGGCCCCGCTGGGCCCAGGCTTACCGGCGCAGGAGTGCAGCGGCTTGGGCCGGACCAGGAGCGACGGGCAGACGGAGTACAGGGAAAGTTTCTCGAAGTAGTCGCAGGTCTCCTTGGAGAGGATCTCGTCGATCATGAAGGTCTTGTAGCGCCTCCTGCCTGCCTTGGGCCGGCCGGGCACGGGCAGCCGCGCCGGGGGCTGCGGGCCGGGCTGGGGCTGGCCGTGCATGGCGGGAGCCCTGCGGGGCGGCCAGAGCCGCGCCCGGCTCGCATGGGCTCCCCGGGCCTGTCCCCGCTGTGCTGAGCGCCGCAGGCTCCCCGCTATATAAAGCCGCCGATAAGCATCTCTCCCATTGCTCCGCAGCCTTTTTAGGAGGCTCGGGCTGTCAATCAGGGCGCCCGCTGCTCCCCGCCAGCACCATTGTTACCCTGCGCCGGGCTGGGAGGATCCGCCGCTCCTTTCCCCTCCCTGCTCGCTATTTTAAGATACTGGGGTGTGTGGCTTCTTTTTTTTTTTTTTTTTTCCTCCCCCTCCTCCTCTTCTCTAGATTGTAATTATCTAACAAAGTTGAAATGCGGGCTGCCGGAGCAGAGCGCCGCGTTCCCGGCCCCGACAGCTTTCCCCGAGCAGCGTGAAACCTATTCCCAAGCCGCAAAGTGCCGGAGAGTGGCAGAGGGGGAAAAAAAATCCTGTTTATAGGTGCCTTGCAGGAGCACCGAGTAGAAGTTCTTTTTCTCCGGAGCAGCATTACCTCGTACCCAAGTCTGAGAGTATTTTCTGGCAGATCCCTGCTTAGTTCAGCTGGATTTTTGCAAACACGAGCTTTCAGCCCCTTCTGCTGACGGGTGCTGGAGGCTTCCTCACTGGAAGTTTTCCTATCAGGCTGTGGGGCTGAGTTGTATTTCTCATCTCCGTGGCCTCCGACGGGAATCAGAACACCCTACTCAGGGAAAGGTGTATCAGGAGGAATACTCCGGATTAACTGGTTGCTGCGGGTTTTCCAGAACCCACAGCCAGCTCACTAGCTTTAAAGGGGTAAAGAAAGGCTCATTATAGAGATTTGCCACCCCCTAAAAAATATTATTTGAAGGTTTCACATAAGGATTTAAATATAATCTGCAAAAAGTTATCAGCCATCCTTCAGTTCTCATGCTTTGGCAATCCAAATGGCAGCAAACTTATTTTAGTAACAGAAAGCTCAATCTGTTTATGCAAAAGGCAACAACCATTTCAAACTCTCATCAGCAATTTGAACAACTTTTATTTTTTTCCACTGTATTTTTTAAAAGCATTCAAAACACTGTGAACTGTCTTTAAGCTCTTTTGTAAAAGCACAACTTATTTTTTCAATTCAAAGTTTCATTTAACTTCAGCAATACAATTGCTCATTTATAGAGACTCAAAATCAAAATAAGACATTTGCATTGTCCACACATTGTCAAAACTGGAAGGCAGATGCAAGAATATATCAAACTTTTGATATATCCATTGAACTTTTTTCTTAAAACTTCATTACATTTTTTTTTAAAACATAGCACAGCAAATTATGTTAAAACAAAGGTAAAGCAAAGTGTTTTGTTCATTTTAAACCATTGGGATGACATTCTTATTCGAAATAAATTGGTTGGAAATGGTTTTATTTATTTTTATTTTGAGAAACTAGAGTGATCTTACAATGAGGAATTTAACTAGAATGATAACTAGGGAGTTCAAGAACTCCTCCACGACGTTATAAGTCTTTTAAAATTACTTATACTGCTGCTTTAATTCCTAAACAAACTACGGATATTTGAGATGAACTGACTTTGTTATGAATGTATTTTTATGAGTACTCGCTTCTTCATTCATACATAAAACATTTCAGGAGCACATTTTCTTCATCTTTTTCAGACACTTTTTCTTCCTTTTTTAGGAAACTAAGTAATTACCAGTAACATTAACTTCAGCAATTATTACTTGCCGATAATTATTGAAATGAATACTTTGGAAGCAACAGTGCACAAACCACTGATTTAAGCCCTAAAGCAGCAGTAAATGGCATTTTACTGCTCTGTGTTTCCTCGGGGTCCAGCCAGGAGCTGCAGCCCCCTACCCCCACTTCAAATTTTTCCTGCTTTTCCTGCCTTTGTAAAACCTGACACAAGACAACAGGGGAATGTTTCCTGAAGAGTATTCCAGGAGCTTGACTAGATCTAGCCCAGAAATCAAGAGCAGAAGCAAACTGTGGGCTCGCCGAGCTTGCACACAAGTGACAGCAGGACAAGAGACTCTGCTTGTCTTTAAATGTTTCTTTCTCACATCTGAAGGGCTGAATATCCATCCAGAGGTGTGCGGCTGGCACCTCTGTCCATACTCTAGAAATGTGATGTCCTCACCTGAGCCCAAGCAGATGAACTGGCAGGTGGGATTAGCCTACACTGACATATCTCTAAAAAATTTATTTCTTTTTATTAATGTTTTTTTAAAAGCAAGTGGCCAGAGCAATACTGTGAGTTATGCCGATGAAACACACGCTGGCTGTCAATCAAAAAGGGAGTGCTTTGGTCAGGAATAATCAGGGGTTTTGTTTTCAAAATTAATGAAGTGGCTGGAATAGCTAACATCTGCCAAGGGGACTCAAACCCTGAGCAGCTGTTGGAGCCCCAGGACTCTTCGATGTAGGATGGCCTTACTGGTAAGTGCTTCTCCCTGAGGTTTCTCTCATGGTTGAGAGCTGGGAGCGGACGGGAGGCTGGGAAGTGAAAGGCACATTCAGGAAGGTTTGGAGGCCAGGAGATTGGACGCAGTCTGTGTGTGCCAGGCCTGCACCTGCATGCCACAAACGGCAGCCAGGCAGCCACGGACCAGGATTTCTGCCCTTTTCAAAGAGGGAATTCATCCAAGGGACACGATCCTCCATTTCACTGACTAAGGCATTTTTCAATCAGAATTGAGGAGGAAAATAACACTTCTGTGAGCCTGTCAATCAGCAACAAGTAATTTCTAAGGAAAAGCAGGGATGTCAGCCCAGCAGCAGAGAGCTGGAAATAGATTGTCCAGGAGGGCAGTTGTGTTCAATCCGGAGAGATAATGGCAGCAAACTCTCTAAACTGAGGTTTCTGGAGACAACTGGTTTTAATTTGGAGTCAATTTGTGCTACCAGGTTTTTTGTGTATAATGCCAGAGCCCCACAGGTGTGGTGCACCTTGGGAAAATGATTAAACACCTTCGCGTTGACTTGTTTAGTCCCAGCACAAACATTATTATGAGAGACAGTGATTAAGGCAAGAGGAATTAAGTTGCTGCCGTATTACTAAATTTGTGATTTAAGCAGTACCCAAGTGGCTCTGCTTAAGGCAGAGTCTGCTGGTTGTGATCACTTGCTGCTGTATTTGTACATTGCCAAGCACACTGGGATTGTTTACTGTAAGAGAAGAGTTCTGTCTGTTGGGTTTTCAGCTCACCAGTTTCCACAAGAATTTAAAACGCAAGCTTATTTTGACAGAATGAGCAGGACGAACTAAAGTGCCAAAGTCTGAAAGTGCATTGGCTCTCAGTCTGAGTTCCTGTTTCCATATTGAAAAGGCAAAGATACCTTTCGCAAGGCCCTGACATTACCATTTTTAATCACTAGGAAAGTCCCTTTTCCAGTGAAATGCAACCACCTTTGTAAACAGATCTGTACAGACATAATCAGTCGTGCTAAACACCGACACTCTGATCTCAAGTGTATGCCTTTTTCAGCGTGATATTGGGCTTGATACTTGATCCAGTGTAGAAAAATCAAATGTGTGGCTAGAAAGAGGAAGGCACAATTTGGGCCAGTGCTTTGCTCCACAAAATCCAGAGGCTTTGTCCTCTCAGCGTGAAAGGTCTCAGTGCATAAAAATCTCTTTGAGTGAAACATCTCAGCATCTCCTTCACATAAATAGAGTTTCTAGGATCTATGTCAGAGAAAAGGGCATTACCCCAGAAAGATTTTTTTGTAAGCCAGGGAGAGTGTAAAACATCCCACACATGCATATAGAAGGAGAAACCATCTGATGGGTGGCTAAGTGATCCCCTCAGTCCTGTGCATTCCCCTGACAGAAATACTCATTGAGAGAAAGACACCTCTGAGCAAGGTCTCCTCCCTATCTCCTGGAAAGCCTTGTAAAGGCAGAGGATGGAAAAGAAACTAAAGTGTTTGTTGACCCTGAACTTTACCTTGGCCCCTTTGCAGATGAAAAGATGATACCTCTGAGCAGCCGAGGAAACAGAAATTGCAGAGCACCAACTGCACAAGCTCACAAACCATCACCTTCAAGGGGGCTCTTTGCTCCCAGCTTATCTTTACAACCAAATTTCACTCCTGGCCTAAGTGACTGGAATATGACTGCTCCAAGTCCAGCAGTTTCATTTGAATTTTTTTTTCAGCCCCCAAGGCTATGGATCCTGTCTTCAAATCCTTGATTACATTATTTCCCCTGTCACCTTTATCTGTCTGCAACCTCTCTGAGTGTCACCAGACCTCACTCTGAGTCCAACTGATTCCCATCCTGTCCTCCCACTGTGATGCTGCAGCATTTGTGTGGTTTCAAGCCATTCCTAGCTCTGGTTTTGTCCCTTAATGGACAGCCCTGGACTTAGGGCAGCAACACTACAAAGATGTCCTTGACGTGCTCAGGGTAAAACAAAGTTTGAGTTACTTTCTTCAGAAAAATTATACTGAAGGCTGAACTATCAATTGGGACACCTTTGTTTTATTTCCTGCTCTTCTTCAAGCCCTAAACCTAATCTCCCTTGCCTAGAGGCAGCTTTTAATCATCTAGAAATAGAGCATAAGAGTATTCATCATGTGATTGGAGCCACTGGCCAGTCCCCAAATGAGTTAAGATGCTCTCATTTAAAGTAATAGTACAGCTAATAACCATTTTTATCAGTGCATGCTCAGAACACACAAGCCATAAAGTTCATGACAGAGTTGCAAAATGCCTTAAAAAGGAGACCTAGATATGGCCTCAGATCTACATGCAGAGAAACTGAGGCAAAGTTTCCCTCTGTTAATGCTTGGGACAGAAGCCAGATCTCACTCACCATCATGTCCTCTCCAGTCAGAGCAGAATCTAAATCTCAGAATTTTCCTCTGTGACCTTATTTTTTCCCCCACAGCACATGGGGGGCTGTGAGACAATGTGTTAATTTTTCCACAGTTACCTCTCTGCAGGACACACACCACCTGAGCAGCTTCTCCTTCCCTAGACTCTGTT